ATTCCACCGTACTTCCTCCCACTATGGCATCTTTACCGTATCGCTGTCCGCCGTCTGCGAGGTCAAGTTGTAATTTGACTGCGAACTGCAATTTCAGGGCCCAGAAATCCGGATTAGCAACTGAAACATAAAATAAAATTGACCTTATTTTTTCGGTAAATTTAGATTATTAATCTTCACGTGCCAAACGAACTGTGAGGGTGTTCGCCAGATAAACGGCCTGCATTAGTAAGGTGGAGGAAGAATTGTTTCTTTGGCGACGCGGAAACTCGCCATGTGAACAGTCTGGCCATTCAGGCGCGTGATTTTGCAAACATCAGACCATGCAATGCACCTAAAACTAGCGAAAGTCACGAGATCTTTCGATGCTTACATTCATGAGTCTTTCTTATCACTGATGACCAGAAAATGTGTATGTCATGAAGTCATGAAGGTCTGCTAGTTTTGAGGCTTTTCAATCACGCATAAGGTCTGCTGTGGCGGGCAGCGCTCCTTTCACTCCAAATAACCTCGAAACAATATGTCAAATTTTCATACGCAATTAACGTAACAAAGACCAGAAAATCACTCATGAATAAAGACTGCGTAATTTGATCTTTTTGCGACCAGCTAATCAATACTGGCTATCGTTTTAATGAGTCTATTTTCAGACTCATGCTGTTTTAATGTCATATGTGCAACCTTTCTATCTCATTTCTTGTTATATCGGTTACCGGGTCACGTACGAGCAATTTTAAAGCACTTATCCTTTTCTGTCGTAATCAGTCTAAGACTAACAACCATGCGAACTTCTGTAGTCAACCAGTATTAAGAGAGATGACGACAATCGGTCTATTTTTAGCGCCAACAATTTATTTCTGATTGGGACAGCAGATTCATGAAATATTTGAAATGGTCCCATCCTTCCGCCAACTGGACACGCTACGTGGATTGTATAATGTCAGGAGGGGGTGATGCGACCGGCATCTGTCGTCTGTCCCCCGACTGCTTTGGAAATTAAGCCATTTTGTAAACTGCAATGAGACCACTCTATATACATAACATCTTCCGTTTCTCAAGTAAATAAACTTGTATAATTGATGCCAATCTTGCTATTTTCCCCACTGTTAACAACTGCGTGGCTAAGAAATTTCGAGAGAAATTTCTGCACTTAGTCGTAGATGCTTAGAGGGTGATAATGACGTTGCTTTGCCACCATTTGCTGGCGTTGTCCACTGAGCGTCAGTTGGGTCTTGTTCGAGTTTGGCCCATGAGTCGTCACTTTTTCGTTCACGGGACAGACGGCAAGATAAAAGCGTTTTACCGTACGGATTAGCACAGATAGCAGCAATCACGATTTTACAAATGGTAAAACAATTAATGAATGGTACACAGTCTACCAACATACACACCGTAAACCGTAAACCCGTAAATTACAATTTCTGGCTTGTCTTGCAACGTGAAAAGAACTTAGGGACGACCATCCATTTATGCAAATCATGCAATGTCACAGATGTTGCCAAGGGTCGCCTGCAGAAACATGAAAACAACGAACGAGTCTCGAAACAAACTTACGTTCAACATTTCCTGCCAAGAAATATCACTATTTGCCACATCGAATATCGGGAGAAAATGGCGTTACAGGATTTGCAATCCGCCACGACCACCGAGAGGAAGAGTCGAGCTCGGAGCTGGACGAATGACATCGCTCACCGAACAAGCCTGAACATCCTTTACGTCACGAAGGTCGTAAAAAACCACACCATGCGGCTCATCCTCTGAGCTCAAGGTGTAACTGTCAGGTGATCGCGATTGGGAGAAAATCCAAGACGACGACGCCGGACGAGTCGACGAGTTACATCAGTCACTGAACAAATCTAAATATCGTTCGCATTCGCACGGCGGGGATCATGCAAAACCGGCAGCACATCGCATCGTCCAACTTCTGAGCAACGGGAGGCAGCGATTTGACGGCGATGACGATTCCGTGCATTCGATTCCACAAATGCGGGAATCGGTTCCTGGCGCTGATTAGCAAACGGTTAAGACGATGGCTAGTTTTTCGCCAGCAAAACCGAGGACAACAGAGCTTCTCACATACCTTGCGACGAAACCACATAGCCTGTGTTACCTTCCTAACATGTGCCACTATTTTCAAAGTAGGACATCTCGGAAAGTGGCCACAGCAGTGTCCATAATTAGGCGGTGAAAGGCCTGTGGAAAAGTGATGAAAACAATAAATAAAATGATTTGCATTTAATTATTTAGAAAATTAAATGGAAGGAAAAGTTTGATTTATGTCGAAGTTCCTGATAACAAACATATTCTAGATCACAGGCGATGCATGGACAGAAGGGCAAAATCACATTAGTTAAATGAACCGAGAAGAGAAAACTTCCAGCTACATAGCTGGAGACTCTTCTAACTCTATTCCTACTAATCAAAACCAATTATGGAGAGTAGGCAAGAAGTAAGCTGAGGTACTACACAATTGGTCATATTTTCCACCTCAGACGAAGGTTGATAAGGTCAGCTAAAGAGGTTATGACATGTCTACATATTTCAAACGAACAAATCATGCTAAAGGAGGACTCTTTAGTACAAGAGCGAGTGGAAGGATTTGGAAAATCGTTTATGTTTGTGCTGAACAAAAACGCTTGAAAATTTTTTCGTCCTGTCGCTTATCTTGTAAAGACAAAAAAAGACTCGAGGGCTAGAGCCGAAATATAAACATATATGAACGAAGTTTAATGGGTGCTGTAAGGAAATGGAATTATAATGGTAATCGACAATGGCAAACGTCTTCCCTATCACAAAAAAAAGCTACCTGAAGGTACAATTTGGGCAATGTTATTATCAAACCTGATTTTCTCGATTGATCTGCAGACAGAAAGACTGATGTGACTCTCCTTTACTTCCTGAAATTATTTTTCACAGTCAGGATCGTCCTCTGTATTGCTAATAAGTTGTTTCAGTGTGCTTAGCTGGGGCCATTTGGTACGTCCCAAGGTTTGGGGATAAGGCAACGCCCTCCACATACAGAGGTTAGTGGCGACAAATAAGCAGTCGCGAACAGGCAGCGATGAGATCACCAGAGGGTTCCGGCTCGCTAAGTTCGATCCTCATTGAAAAAGTCACGGCATCCAATGCAGTCTAGTATCGAGGCGAAAGCGACGCGCACTTTGGAGAA